CAAAAGTGATATCGAAAAGTTGAATGATCGCTACAATAAGTATATCATCCTTGAAGGGAACTTTGTTGAATAAAAAAAAAAAAAACAGATTTTTCCAAAAGTATTTGTTTTACTATGGTAGGATGGGGACTTGTCAATTAAACTGTTATAATAACGAAAATATTTGAGTTTAATGACTGAAATGTTTTCTCATACTTCCACGCAGCGAAGCGAAAACAAAAATGAATTTACTCAAGTGAATCTCAAAGCAAAGGCGACAAACTGTACTTCAAATGAAAACCTTCAGTGCGATAACATTTGCGACTTTTTTCAATTAAACGTCATGCTTGATGAATTTACAGACAATCTTAATCAAGCATAAAAACTGTCTCGAAATTATACATTGGCGTATGAGTTATACTAAGTTGTCATAATTCAAGTCTGCGCATGCAAAAAGAATGTCTGAATCAAGGCCTCCACGAACAGCTTGCGTGCTGTTGCTCAGCGGTAATCAGTAAAATTGTAATCAAGCATGAAGAATTCGATTGTGTAGTCAAAAGTATTTCTGGTTAAAACGAAATATGGGCTTAAGTTTTTCGAAATATACACGAAATTTTCAAACCACTTGAGATAAAGTTGATTCCACTTAAGAAGCTAAAAATCATTGTGTTGGTTCCAGTTAAGGAAAATTGAGCTTATAGTGATATAGCTGTTTAAATATAGGTCGATTTTGGCATAAGATTTGGGTCAAACAAAAATTATAAAGAACAAAACTTCCATTCAGTCTAATAGGAGTCGATTGGTCAACGCTCTCTTACTTCATACAGTATTCTATAACTTTTTTCTCCGAGAAGCTTCTTAACACCATTCGAACTCAGAATTTTTCGACGTTGTTTTCAATCAGTTAGGCTTAATATCTCATGGACTCTTAATGTAAGTATTTATTGCGAAGTTGTTCTTCAGTAGTTATCATAACTAGTTTCTGGCAATACTGCTGAGGTACAATCCTTAACAAAATTTAGGTATGCATTCTTTTCTGTTGTGAAAATACGGTTTTCAGGGATATGCACGTAAGTCGTTCTCACATGATTTGAAATTTTTGATGGTTCAACATATATATCTTCCAAACAACAGAAACTAAATCAACCACACTTTCTTAGAAGAAGTCAATTTACCATTTCCACATAAGTTGTGAAAACGGATGAAATCAGATAATAACCACGCCTTTTACCATATAATGGTAAAGTTGCAAACTACTCACTGAATTCAGAAGCAAGCCGGTAAGACTTCATAGGTTCTGAAGTAGAAATTGGACAAGGGGCGTAGCACCGTCCACCTTTGATTGAAATGTTATATCTCAGAAACTGCTTGACCGGTTTTAACCAAATTTTGTGTGCGAGGTTACCTAAACATTACTATGACACGATGTGTTAATGGCTGAAATCAGACGTTAACCACGCATCCTTGCGCATGAGCAATGCTGCCGTCACAACACCGGGACGTGACACTTGAAAGTCACTAAAAATACCTCCTCTAATGATCCCGCTGTTTTTTGTTTTGATAGTAAGTTTGCTGCGAACTTCTGCATAATCCCCCAGTTTGCTTCACTCTCCAGCCCGACACCCTTGCTTTTTTCTAGGGATTCTCTTCTGCCCGTCTGATTTGAGTTATGTCATCTTGTTTCGGTGAGTTTTGAAGTTCTTCTGTGATGGCAACTGGAGTTCTCTTCTCTTCCCTTCCCTTTGGTTTTTTTTTTTTTTTTTTTTTTGCGTGTGATGCTGGTGTGACCGGAGTTTTTCTCGAGGTTATGGGGAGTATAGAGGATCTAAGTATTCTACTATTTCTACGGAAGAGGGCCCCGTATTTCTCGTCTTGGTCATCTTTACTTTGTTTTTCTTTCTGTTAGGTGTTTGTTGTTGTTTCGTTGTATTCATTTCTTTTATAATGGGTAGCAGCTTTAAGCTGCTATATCCGCACGTTGGAACAGTTGCCCTTTATGAATCCTATAATTTATCTATGCAAGCAGGCAGGCCAGACGAGGGTTGACACAACTTCTTATGACAGCTTATTTAAGAGCCAGGAGCTCGTCTCAACTGCTTTGCATAGGCCGTTCACTACCCGCCAGCTGTAGGTAAGAATCTGAACTCAGCCTTAGCAAGCTATAACCAGCTTTTAAATACCATTTGATGTTTTGCCCTTACGGTAAAGATATTAAACTTTAAAAATGTAATGTAATGTAATGTATTTTAAATTAGTATTTCGTCCTACGGTCTATAACATTGCAGGGACCCAGTCCCAGTTCATTTCTCTGATTTTTTAACACAAATATCGGTCAACATGTGAGCTCTAGTATTGAAATAAGGGGAGAATGTGTTATGTCCAATATGGGTTAAATCGGTTCAATACCATATACCTAATATAGTACCTAATTTATTTTTCAAAATCTATGTTCTCCTCATAGTAATCCCCCTTGGTCCAAATACATACACTCGTGTAAATTTTTTTCCAATCCGCGGAACAGTTCTTAAAGTGAATTTCCGAAATAGCCGTCAATGCGCGTTTTATGTCTTCAAGTGACTCAATGCGGTCGTTTGAGCTTGCTGAATAGCCAAAAGACACACGGTGATAATATACATATGTACATCAAAAGCGAAGAGAAATCTACCAAGCGTACTCTTCTAAACTATACTTAATAACTTTATATGATTACTCAATGAACCATTGTCTACTTAAATATCGCAAGAATCACGATCGAACACCACATTTGTACATACAGAAAATAGTTTGTTCTACAAAAACTTAGCGATAATAGGGCAAATATTTATATAAATTTTGCAAATTAAATTTGTTCCTATACTCCATCACATTCTTCATATGATTTACCCATATTTATGCTTTCAATCAAGACATATATTGTATGCCAAATGCTTGAAAATGGGTCACTTACTCGGCATAACACCGTTGTCAGCAAAGTGACAGTACTGTCAGTTGGTTAGTCACTCAGTAAGCCGTACAAATCAACAACACGTCGCGAAATTTCACACTCTCTGAGCAATTTTCTTGGCGGCTGATTGCCAGCTGCTGAGTGTTGACTGTCAAATGTGATTAATTTTAACTAAATAAGTAAGCCACAATTTTCCCATAAAAAAACAACAAGTAAAACAGCAACATATAGATAACTATGTAGTAAGTGATGATGCATATGAGCGTCTCATATTTATTGGCCTTACAAGACCTGAAAAAAATAAAAGCATAAATGAATAAGTGGCTAAACCAATTGAGATCGTTAAAGTTTCGCTTCAAATTAAAATAAAAAAATAAATATGAAATGTAGTATTTACAATTACAAAGACTGTTTTTAATATGTTATTACAGTGAGCATTACACATGAGCGCTTCTTGGAACGCTGACCAGTTTTCTAGTTAAAATGAACAAAAAAGTTGAAAAATATAAACTTTATTTCTTTTCAACTTTTGGGGTACTCAACTAGTGACGATGCGTTTTTTAAAGTTGAAAGAATAACTATCTGAGATAACATATATTAAGATAAATTCTTTTGAGGTCATTTTGTAATTTAAATTCGACTGTCACTTCTCGGTGATGATGATGAGGAGAGGGAAAGATGTCTCGGGAGCAGGAGGCTTCTAGATGATAGGGTCAGGTGTAGGTGGCAAGATCGTTGGAATATTAGTCCTAAGTACACTGTGGAACATTTGAAAGAATAATCTTCAAAAGGAAAATTGCAAAGAATGTTCTTTGGAATGATAATAAACATTCCCGATTAAATGTAAATTTTCCGAGTTTTTCTTTTTAGTAGGGAACATCGAAATGGATCATCCTTTAGAAACAAAAAGCTGGAAGTCAAATTAAGAAAAAAACTATAGAAATTAGTTAAGATGTTTTAATATCTAACTGCAGAGCTTCAAAATGCACTTTGACATAGAAATATTTTCCGATAAACTCAAAATCTCTCTCTGGTTCACTACGTATACGTTTTTAAGAATCTGAATAAAGGAATCTTTATTTCTATCTCTTTCTTCAAATATCCTTACCTCAATCAATATCGTATTTCACTTTCAGAAGGCACGGTAATCAGATTTTGATCAAACTCAACTTCTTCTAAGAAAAATATTTTTTTTTTTGTTTTGACAAGGTGGTAGATACATATGTTCGGTAAGAGTGCAGCACATTCGGTCGACCTTTAAATAATGAACTTTCATTTGCGTTTAGTGCCCACAACGGAATTTCTTATCTCCGTTATGCTTTTTGTAGATAGATATTCACGTTCAACGTCGCGGTTGTTATAGTACTGTGCACTCGCAGATTAAATGTAAAACACTTTATGCAACTGCGGTAAACATTTTTATTTGGTATTCCCATTTTTAACCGTGTATGTTTGTAAGACTACAAGTATACATATATACTCCTAGTGGGCATACTAAATAAGTTATTTTCTTGTTAAATATTGCATATTGCATTTGGGTGTAGATTTCTAACTGTTCTGAGTGGTTTGTTCAAACTACGTACTTAGTCCCCTCTTGAAAGTTCCTGGAGGGCACGGTATTGTTTCCGTCTCAGACTCGTCTAGAGAGACTGCTGACTTGCCCAACTTGTCAACTTTGATGTCGAAAAAATTTCTATAACCGGGAACTTAAATCCTCACGGTATATTTCCGTCCCCAGTCTACAATCCATTTTCGGATGCCGTCGGTATATATTGAGAAAGTATTCTCCTACCCTACTAAATCTCTTCTCTAAGGTATTTTCACGAAATTTGACACAAATTATTACTTTAGCCGACGCCACAAATTACGAACACATTTTTCCGATTACGCCGCTATATCGTATACTTGCCACACAAACGCATCGATCAAAGATTTTGTAAGGGATCTTTTGTGAGGGGTATTATAGCTTCGGTGCTGCCGAAGTTAGCGTTTTCTCCTGTTTCTGTTTTTTTTCATATTAATGTGAGAATGTTAGAAATAAATAAAATTTAACGTTTAATATTTATTTTGTACTAACCTTCATCATGTGCTAGCAACTCTTGCAACGCCAGCGGTTCCTCCAAAATACAGTCCGTCGTGGCCGCATTCTTCTCGGTGAACACATCGGAGAGCGGTAGAGGCACATATAGCTTGCCATCGCTAGTTTTACGTTGCACTATCTGCGCTTTAGGCGGGAAATTTAGTAATTCTCGACGTTCACTAGCCTCGGAAGGTTTGAAGTTGCGTTCCTTCGGCATTTTTGTGCAAAATTTTATTAATGAAAAAAAAAAACTGAAATTTATTTGTTAACACGTTTGCTACATTCACATTTAATTACATACAGACACGAGCACGTTAACTAAGCACTATTTTGTGTATGCATGTGTGGGTGTGCGTGTTCAATTACGACGCTTTAAATGCGATTATACACCAAATATCACTGCTAATCAGCGCAAGTGGCGCCTAAATTATTGCACGTCATTAAGATTCATATGTAAGGCTTTGCTGTTGTTGTTGTTATTATTTTGTGCGTTTGTTTTTGATTTGATTGATTTATGTTTCTCAGCACTCGCATAATTATTTGCGTTCATTTGAAGTTTTATTTTATTTTGTATGCAACACGTGCGTTATTTCGCGCATATTTGTTGTTATTTTTCTTGTTTTTGCTTGTTTTTGCCGCCAATATCAAGGATTAGTGATCGTAGACACATACACACTTATGAACACGTTAGAGTGTGACACGTTGACAACATGACAGCGACAAGAATTTATAGAATAACACATGAAATTCGTTAATGAACTGCAATGTTGTTTGTTGTGTGTAGTTGTTGTTGTTTTCGGTTAGTGCGTTGCATGCAAAGTGGCTGCCGACAAAGTTTTGCGCTCTTTTGCTGTTTTGTTTGATTTTCTATTTGACGTGACAAATATGTACCTGTGCAAGTAGCGCCTGCAATATTTAGATCGTGTTGCTGTCGATTAATTCATTCATTCACAAAAGGCGCTGCTGACGTTGTTGTTTCATTTGCATACATTTTTTTTTTAATGCGAATTTAAAGTCAGTTTATTTTTTTTATTTTTTACATTGAGAAATTATAAATTCATAGCAAGCATGGCATTAGGGTGTTTCTATAACAAAAATAGGATTAGAATTCAAAATTTTGAGATTTTATTTTGTATTTAATATTCAAGTTTTTTTTACTGCGTGTGTTTTTAAAGTCGGTTGTGAAGATTTCTCGAGAACTACTCAACCGATCTACATGAAATGTTGGACAGGTCTTAGAGATACAATTTTTAAAGGCATCGACGAAGAATTTGTTTTTCGATTACAACTATTATTTGTAAAAAAAAAGGCGCGACATTTTTTGGTAAAATTTTCTGCTAAAATTCAATTTTCAGTTTTTTCCTTAGTCAAAGTTCTAATTTAAGGTTTTAACCAAAACACATACTAACACCTGTTAGGAGTTTTTTCGTGTTAAAGTATTTTTTTCCAAAAATTTCAGAATTTCTTTGCTACTTAATTGTGTAAGTAACAGTAAAAACAAATTCTAATAAATTTCATTTTTATATGAGAAAGAAATTGGCGAAAAAGGCTACTTTTTATGCGAGGAAACCCACCTATAAACTTTTGCGTGATATACTTTGCGTCTTAAACGTTTTCGCTACTAAAAATTAAATATGTTGATAAATAAGACGAGATTTCCAGAACATCAAGTTTAACTAAAGATAGAAAAGAGTACAAAAAATGTTCGTCCTGACACATAAATGACGCTCTTAGATTTAATCCATACAACTTTTAGTTAGTCCTAACCAAACTCAAAAGTCGAAAGTATAAATTTAACAGCTGGCGGATCATATGAGTACACCTCACTTTTAAGTTCTTTTCGAACTTTAAAAATTTGTCGAACCTTTCAGCGGTTTTTAAGTTTTCAGTTAAAGCAAGCGTACGGAAAAGTGTCATGCTGCCTACTAGCTCACAAAAGTACAGCTACAATCCTCAACCCATTAGGTGATTACAAACAAGCTTCTGTCCAATTGTCAGTTTGAACCGCCAACAGTAGCAGCCAAGAGACCAAGGTCAACTGAAGAAGCTAAGCCGGCAGCAAAAAAGGACGAAGACAAAGGGTGTGACATTCGCTAAATCATTTGCTGATATGGCCCTGAATCATTAGTGTGCTGGATGAGGGAGATCCCGATGGAAATGGATCCAAGCTGCGCTAACAAACGTGGTGAAACTCATTGGCTTCACACAACAGTTGTACTCGTATTGCCGTTTATGACACACGGTAAAATTGGTATGTTGGTCAATAAAGGGAAAGAAATATGCCATAGATCATATGAAAATCTTCAAAGAACACTATATGCTCTTAGAACAACGCCTAGTCAGGCACTAAGCGCTATTTTACACTTATTTGAAATTATTATTAGCAATCTAGAATACTTAGTAAGTTTATTATTTTAAGCACAACCCTAAAACCCTCATATACGCAAATATAATAATATTTACGTAAATGGGGGCGGTATTTGCGCATTCTTTCATATTAAGAAAGAGGACGTCTTAAAAGGGGTTACAGTAATTTGTAATTTACTCTTTATATTATTTAAATTAAAATTGAAATGACGCGTGTTTCGAATAAGCATTAATACAGTGTCTGCCATCATCACTTCTAAATCAAGATTTTCACCAGTTAGAGATTAGTTTACGTTTTATTTATGGACTTGATTGGAAAATATATATAGTATATCTATATACCATATTTATCTCCTTATTTATTGTCACAGACATCGCTGACGCGGTTATAGCCGAGTTTCGCGCGCTAGTCATTCTTTCTTTTTACTGTTTGGCACTAATTGGAGATTACAGGTGTAGTTAGGTCCTTCTCCACCTGGTCTTTCTAATGGAGTGGAGATCTTGCTCTTCCTCTCCCTTTTTCCCGGCGGATACTGCGTCGACTACTAATAAAGCTGGAGTGTTTTTATCCATTCGGATAATGACCTAGCCAGCGTAGACGATGTCTCTTATTTCGCTGAACTATGTCTATATAGTGGTATAACTCTTACAGCTCATAGTTCCATCGACTGGACCATAAATATTACGCAGAACCTTTCTCTCGAAAACTCGTAACACCGACTCATCAAATGTTGTCATCGGCCGGGCATCTGCACCATATAGCAGGACGAGGATTGTAGAATTTGGTCAGATTTATAGTATGTCTCATTTTAAAAAGTATAAATATTTTTCGCAATGATATAAAACTCAAACAGCCAAGCAGAATAACGTTTAGTAGAGCAATCAAATCCGTTAAATCCCCATCGCACTTCGAGCCGTTCGATACCAAGTGAACCTTTAGATATAGTCTTGTGGAAGGTTGGCAATACAAAATACCTGGAGGACACTTAAAAAGATTCCTAGCGATTTGGAGACTTTGTCACTGAACTGTAAGCTTCAAAAAGTTGGGGACTTCATATATCTCGGAATCAACTTAAATTCGACCAATAATCATAGACTGGAGCTAATGCTGCTACTTTGGGATCGGTAGGCAATGGGGAAGCAAATCCCACACTGAACAAATAAAAATGACGCTCTATAACTGTTTCATTATTCCCTTCCTACTATACGGCGCAGAAACATGGATGAGGACGAACCGAGATATAGAATTGTTTTTCGCAAGATCTTTGGAGCCGTCCGCTTGAGCGATGAGTATCGTTAAAAATGGAACCACGAACTGTATGAACTATGCGGCGACATGGATATAGTTATGCGTATAAAAATTCAACGAATGCGCTAGTTAGTTCATATTATCCGTATGGAAAATGATGATCTAGCGAAAAGCTTCTTCAACTCAAGACCTGTGGGTGGACAACGGAGGCAAGGCGCCCATACATTCAACGAAAAGATCAAATGCACCTTTATACATTTGGGATGTGACGTGACCTCGCAAAGGATAGAAGCAACTGGTGAAGTTTTGTGTTCTCGGCCCACACTGACCCACGACTATAGTGCTGAAGAAGAAGGAAAAGAAGGCATCTTGAGGGACTCATTTGGTATAAAACCAGTTGAAACAATTAAGGAAGAGCTAAAATCGGGTTTCGCCGAACATTTCACACTCTTGAAAGCCATTGAAGTAGTTTCTCTTACTATGACCTGTCAGTTATATAAGGTTTAGGGCGAGTTTGGAAATGGTCTAAAATATGTGGACTATACCTTGGCATGGCTTCCTAACAACTGTTGAAATACGAAAGAAGCCTTTTGAATACAGATCTATAAACGATCTTTGTAATAGTTTTCAATTTCATGGTCACTTGTTTAAATTCAAATGTTAATATTTAGCTAGACAATGTTTGAATTTTTGCTCCAAAAGAAGTTTATAGATTAAAAAATTTCATATTTACTAATTTACTTGTATTTGTACTCATTAAAATTTTTCGAATGAAATTTGTTTTTTTTTTTTAACATTTTTCTGCCATCTCTTCTTTTATAAAGGTCAATATTATTATACTATGTTTTATTATTGCAAGTTTTCTACATCACTAATTGATATATCAACGTTCCCACGCCAATGCAATGAACTCGGCTGGGACACTGTTGCAATTTTTTTATTTTTTATTTTTTTGTTTCAACCAGTGACGTCCATCAACGTAGACACAAGCGTATATACATCAATATATATTTATATATTTGCATACATATATGTATGTATGTATGTGTCTGCGTGCCTGAAGCAACTCATTCAGTATGGCCAATGTCTCAGTACCTGTCTCGTCGTTGTCGTCATTGGTTGAATTGTTTGTAGAAAACAGTGCGTAGGCGTTAATTCGTTGCATCCGTTCTGCCTCATCGACTGCAGACAACAACGCGTTCGCTGCAACTGCCGACGTAGATGCACTGCTGGGACGGTGTTGCAGCACGATGTCGGTGAGGGCAGTAAAATGAGGCGCCGATTTAGTTGTTTGCGGTTTGTACGTGTGTTTGTGAGCAGTTATTGTAAGCAAAAGTAGCAAAGAATATTTAAAAAATTTTAAAATATAATGAAGAATTAATTTTAATTAATGAATTTACTGTTTTTTTGCTTTTGTATTGCAAAAATAATTTCAACTATTTAATTTAATCTAAATTAAAAATTACTATACTATTTATTTTAAAATATTTTTATTTAATTAAATGGACTATAAAAAAGTAAAAAAAAAATTTAGTATAAGATTTACCATATTAGAAAATATTAGCATTATTTGAGCTTTTCTTAGTTTCAAAAAATGTGAGTAGAAATATTTTATTACTATTTTTATATTAACTGTAACATCTTTCAACGTTGTTTGCAACGTAGACTAAAGGTAGATATAAACTCGTATAATAGGTCGATTGAAAAGTGCTCGGCCTCTATTTCATTTTGGTAAAATTCTTGTTTTTTATTCACCATATTTCCCTTCAAAGGTACAGATAATAGCGACCCTACAATTTTTCGATGTATACTTTTCTTCAAAAAAGGAATGTTTTGTAATTGCTATGTAATAGCTGTTGTTGATGGCCCTTCCTTTTTCAAAGAAGTCAATAAAAATTATTCCCAAAATACAGACGTCAAAAACTTGCCTGCGGATTATTGCGTTTACGCTCTGGACTTCGGAGTGAATTGAATGAGCTACGCTTTATCCATTGTCACATAAGTATAAACGGAAAAACCCGAGTTTATCATGCTTGAATATCTCCAAACACTGCTCCGAATCAGCAACTCACCGTTTCATTTGGTCAAAAGTGTGCACCCACTTTACACAGAGCTTTATCATGCCCAAACATTCGTGAGTGATATGGTATGCACGTTCAGTTGATATGTTTAAAGTCTCTCGAACAACTTCATATCACGGTAATTTAAACGATTTTTTTTTTAAATTTTTTTGTTGATAACAACCTCTTCTGGGCGTCTACTGCATTCACTGTCTCTGGTACTTACTTCTTCATGTTTAAACGTAGCATACCAATTCTT